AATTAACTTCTGATATTTTCTTGTCAGAACATTTTATATAACATAAATTCTCCACTCTGTACCAGTCCTTAGGGCATTGACTGATATGTGAGAGACAAATATTTATTGAAAGCAGTAATTGTTGATGATAGTTTTTAAGTCATTTAAGATCTCATAACCATTCTAACACTTGTAGCAGGCATCCTACTAACACCTCTTTTTTTGAGAGTCCAATAGCAAATTGTTCCCATTGTAGATGACAACACTAGACTTGAAGAAGGTTGAGTAACCTACAAATACAGCACAGGGTGTATTTGATCTCAGGTTGTTACTCATGTTCTTTCTTCTTCTACTCTTGATCCCTGAACTGTTTTCAGAGAGACTCCATAGTCTCCATCTAATACCAAGGTTAAGAAGGACATGGTTGCTGCAGGATTTGACACAGGGGTTCTGTAATCTTCATTGGGGACTTCAAGGGCCTTGTCATAGTATTCAACTGAGCCAATAGGAATCAAAAGCATGGAGAGATGGTTCTGTGTGGATGAGTCATTCATGGCATGACCCTAGCCAGCAGTGGCTCAGTGTGACTTTGCCTTCTTTGTCATTGGCCTGGTAATACTCACAAAAAGATGCAGTGGCAGTTGTGTGTGCAGCACACCCAAGAGGGTCAGCTGTACAGCTGTGGAGTCAGAAGGCAAAGACTGATAGAGTTATGTTCCATTGTCTTTAGGGAATTTGCAGATGTTGAGCCTTCAGAGATCTGTATAAGTGAGCGTTCCAGAATGGTTTGCATTTGAGTCAAATGAGGCTTGAATGTCTTGTCTGACACCACAGGGTCTCATGTGCCTTGCATGCGCCTTGGTTCGTAGTAGTGTTGGTCTTACATTTCCTTTCCTTTGGCCTTTGAATTCAGTAGTAGCTTTATGTGTAAGCCTCTTCACTACCACCCACACCCACTCTTGGGCCCCAATGATTCTGTAGTTTAACCGTTAGAGGAGCAGGTGCTGTCAGTATTCCAGGCTAACATCATGGGGGCAGGGAGGGGGTTCTGGAAACAGGTTTAGAAGGTGTTTAGCAGTTTGAGCAGGTTCATCCTCAGCTGGCACCAAATGGAGGTGGGTTTGTAGCATAAGCTGTCGTGGTACTCTGTTTCCTTGTGCAGAAAAACCAAACCAACCAAGAAGTCACTCGGATACTTTTTGTCTGCAGTTTTGTTCTGTGTTGTTTAGGACTCAAATGCCAAAGGACATAAGGAACAGGGGGATGGAATGAAGGACAGTGGGGGCCTCAGTTGAGAATTGAGGACTGATTGATTGAGGTTCCTGCTATTTGTGTTTCAGAGTACCTGTTCATAGTGGGGGTCCCTTCATACAAAGCTCAATATTTGTTTTTAAAAGCTCTTAGCAAGTGCAAAAGTTACCTCTTGATTTCTACTTCTGGAGTATAGAAAATAGAATAGACTGAAGCTCTCTTGAGTGATCAACAAATCATTCCAGCATTAACTGTGAGACTTTTTTATTTAATCTGAACACTTGCCTTCAGTGGGCAGAGTGAGACCTACTGTGGTCAGTCTTCAGCTCCACTTTCCCTCTGCAGACACAACCAGAGAAATGTCAACACGTAAGATTTACCTTAATTACATTGGTACATCTTGTGGTTTCTCTGTGGTCTTCTCTAGAATTCTGCCAGAGGTTCTGAAAGTAGCTAACTGCTTCTCATAGTGTGCTTCTCAAACTTGCTTGCTAAGAATCTGAAAGCCTGAATACATGCTTAAACGTTTATTTCCATTCAATGTGCTCGATTCTATCTTCAAATGACGAGACTGGATTTTACATTTTGTTTACATGATTAATGAATTTACTCACTTTGATTTTGTTCAAAATAGAAAAGTGAACTCTAACATTGTTATATTATTTAGAAGCGACTTCTTTCCTGCCCATAATAGCCTTTTAAAATTAATAATTGCTTAATTTAGCATCATTACTTAGATTTTTTTCTTACTACTTTTTCACATTTGACATTGGGCAAATAGAATACAGTTTCTAATTTATCTTCCTACTCTAACATACTAAATATACTTCTATGTCAAGAATATTTTTTCAAAAATAATGATTGAATTGACAATGGGACATTTATATTAACAATTTTTAATTTTGTGCATATTTTGTAAAATGCCATTATACTTTTAAACAACTTAGAGAACTTCAGTTCAAACTTCTACATAAATGCAATTTATACTTGATTATATTTGAATCATTTTTCCAAAGCAGCAAGGATAGAATTCTGAGCTTGGGAGGTAATAAATGTGTCTTATAAATTGTATTCTGCATGAAGGCTGCATGATGATTAGTGTGTGTTTGGAGGTGATGTTCTTTTGTAGATATTGCAGTGACTTCTGAGTTGTGGATTCACAGTGGTGACAAATCTCAGGGCTTTCCAGATAGAGGGTTGTTTGAGTGAATCTGTTTTTGCACTTGAAAGAAGGAGATATATTTTTCTCCATTGACCTTTTGCTCACATTCCTCCTCAGATACTACATGCTTCATCTTCTCCATCGAGTAATAGACTCTCTTCTCTTTGCCTCATTGGCCTCTCAGTTCATGTTGCATTTCTTTGCTCATGTACAGACTTCATTAGATTGTTGATTAAAATAGTAAATCCTTGTTTTCCTGAAAGCTGTGTTCAATGAGGGACAGTGCTGGGGTTGGGGAGATTGCTCAATAAATGAAAGCACTTGCTGCTCTTGCAGAGGACCCACACAGTGGCTCCCAGCTGCCTGTAACTGCAGTGTCAGGGGATGCAACACCCTCTTCTAGCCTCTGTGAGCAACAGGCATGCATGTTATGCAGTTGACATACATGTGGTTAAAACACCCATACACATAATATAAAATAAATGTAATATTTCTTTTAAAAAGGGACAGTATCATAATCCCTTTTTGTTTATGTATTATGGTATATTTACAGTCGTTCTGTTCATCTATAGAGGAGATCTTTGTTGACTTGATCCAATTGTCTCACCTTATGGACAAGGAAAATTAATTTTAAATACGCAAAAGTAGTTTCTGCTGCAGGTAGAAGTGGTTGTGTGGCTAAAGCCAGAAGTTAGCTCTTTTGATTTGTAGCACTGTTTATTTCCATTCTTCTTTCATCCTTGTGTTCATCCAATGGGCAAGTGTTTATTGAGCTTCTACTAAGTATCAGCAGCACTCTAGCAAACTGTGATACTACAAAGCTAAGCCTGTCTTTGAACTTTTATGTTATGGGGAAAAGATACTAACGCTCCTCCACTAACTGTGCTACACTCTAATTCTGAGAAAGTGGGTAAAGATGGAAGATTGCCTTGAAACTATGGCTTGTAGGTACTCACATTACATTTATGTATACTTTTAAATGCATTTAAATATTTACTGTGCATTCATTCTGTGTTGAGCCCCAGAGAAATGTGAACTTTATGGTCATAGCTCCTTTCATCACTGTGTAATCTACAAGTGGGATAAGTGAAGATACAATAACCAGCAAATAGCAAAATGTTGAAGGTCCATGGATCAAACTACACAAAAATCACATGTGTTTTTGGAGAGGAAAATCATAATGGCCATCCTCGTAAGTGGTGACATATGGCACAGCCCCTGAGCAGAACCTCTTTTTAAAAGGTTTAGAAATGAATAAGAAAGGCCTTCTAGATATGAAGATGGACCTCAGAAAGAACTATGATGAGATAGGCTCCACCTGTGGTAGGACTCAGGTGCAGGAACCCAGTCTGGCAAGGGTGCTGGTAGTTAACAAGGCAGATTGCCTAAACTGGGACTGATACAGACAGTGAAACTTCCGGGATTTGTTTCCATAGTTGAAAGAAAGACTGGAGCAAGACTTTTCAGTGACTAGATCAATTTTCTTGATCAGAGCATAACTAATAACAAAGGGGATTTTGGTATCAAATACATTGAACTTCCTAAAACCTTAAGTCAAAATTAGTTGTTATTGTTATTGAAAACAGGCCCTTCCTGCTTGAAGACTAAGATCCAGACAGGCCACAACATGGATTGCATTTACTAACATTGTTTATTCTTCATACTATTTGAAAGGAATAATTGGCCATGATATAATCATGACAGCCATTCACTAACTTTGTTTAGATTTTTTTTAATACAAAATCAGAATTGTTTCAATAGCTATCAGCCATCTGCCTCCAATTACCAAATTAGCTATATTAGTGTGTTTGTATATTTGTTATGTATATCTAATTTGCATATAGTCATATTTGGTGAAGCCTAATTTGATTAGTGTTATTAAATAATAGTGTTTTCTGACTACTTTGAAGATAAATGAAATTTTATTGATAAAATGTAAAACATTGTTATTTTAATATTGTCAACAATTTAAATATCTTTGGGTTTTTCTTGCTAAGTGTACTATAATGAAAATAGCAAAGCTCTATTTGATTGCTAAAATATGCAATGGTTTCCTCAACTTGATAATAAAGAGATGGCAGATACAAATATTTTGGAACATGAGGTATGTCAGACTAGAAGAAGAAGAATTACCGGAGTTAAATCATTAAACTGTTCTCTTGGTGGTGGGTGTGGCCCATCTGAAAGTGAACTATCAAGGACAACTTGTAGTTGAGGACTCCGAGCTTCTGTTGATGGAGATCCTAAGGGGTTGAGGGCGAGTGTGTGAGTATAACAAGTTGTCGGGGTAGAGGGTATAGTAAAGAGTTGTGATAGCCAGTTAGCACACTGGTCTGCCTCTACAGCAGGGCATCCCTGCTGTCATGGTGAAAGAGCTTTGCACCTGTTCCTTCTAATAGCTTTAGCTTCATCCTCTAGAGAGGATGATTTTGGGCTAGGTTCTCACTAAGAAAAACCAACAAAAATGAAGACATGTTATTATGAACCATTTTTAAAACCAGTTTATTAAGATATCACTTGGATTGTGTATAATATAAAGTGTGAATCAAAGACTTGGTAAAGCAATGTTCAGAGTATTCAAACAGTTGCCTTTCCCCCCTCTAAACAGGCTCATGCACAATTAGTCCGAGAGGTTGATGTGGAGAAGGTGTCTGCTTTTGAGAATCCATATGTAGATGCAATAAAGAGCTTGTGGAATGACCCTGGAATTCAGGAGTGCTATGACAGACGACGAGAGTATCAGTTATCCGACTCTACCAAATAGTGAGTATCTGCACTGCAGGCCCTGAGAAACTGCTTGCTGCTCTGTGATATTTGTAACAATGTAGTCTGTGCTGTGCATATATTAATCAAGCCTAGGTGGTGTGTGTGTGTGTGTGTGTGTGTGTAATTCGTAAGTGTAGATTCAGTCATAAGGTACTGAGGTCATAAGGTGGAGAATATTTTCTGGTTTTTGGAGACAAGTCTCATGTAGCCAGGGTTGGCTTTGAATTCCCAGTACTCCTATCTTCAACTTTGGAGTACTGTGATTACAGGAATGTAGCACTGTGCCAATTATGTATTTTAAGGCTCAGACCTAGGACTTCATGCATGGTAGGCAAATATTCTACCACCTTAGCTATGCCCAAATTTCTTTTACTGTGTTTTACTTGAAAACAAAAGTGATCTGATTTTCATCACCCCATTTTCTTCCTCAAACTGCAAGCCAGTGATCCACAAATCTATGCACCATTGTGTCTTTATTAGATTTTTTTTTTCCAACTTGGCACAAGCATGGAAACTTCAACTGAGAAAATGCCTCCATTAATTTGGCCTGTAGGTAAGTCTGTGAGGCATTTTCTTAATTGATGACTGATGTGGGAGGGCCGGTCCCCTGGATGGTGGTCCTGGGTGCTATAAGAAAGCAGGGTAAGCAAGCCTTGGAGAGCAAGCCATTAAGCAGTGTTCCTCCATGGCCTTGCTTCACTTCCTGCCCCCAATTCCCTGCCCTGCTTGAATTTCTACCGTTTAGTGAGGGATGTTTAGTTACCTGGATGTGTAAGATGAATTAAACCCTTTCCCTCCCAAGTTGCATTTGGCCATGGTCTTTATTACAGCAGTAGAAAACAAATGAAGACACATTTGCGACTTGAAACCTTGCAACATTTTTTTTTATAAAAATTCTGATCTTAGCCTTGGGCATGGATTAGAAATTGCAAAAAAATGTGTTTGGTTATGACTTCCCAAAACATAAGACTCCCTAACTTCTAATTCTCAGACCCTTATCTGCTTTCAAGGAACCATTATTGACAGATGAGTTTTCTTTTGCAAGAAAACTGTGAGTTTTAATTTTGCATGCATACCTGATTTATTGTGTGAGCTGTCAGTTAGTTTCATGTGTCCTGGGAAAGATTTGCATCCAAAACAGATCTGTTAATTCTATATCTTCAGATGTACACAACAGAAATGAAGTTCAGCATGAGATTAATATAAAATCATTGTAGCTACCGATCTAGATTGCTAAGATCTGGGAAATAAAGTTGGTTGTTGTTGTTGTTGACTCAGTCAACTTTTTCCTGTGGTCCTCATCACTCTTTCCTTTCTGTTGCAGCAACTGTTCAGCCAACTGCTGCATATTCTTTTTTTTTTAGTTCTCTAGGCAATTTCTGTCTACATTAATTAGGTAAATCTTCCATTCCCCTTCTTACTTTGGTTCTGGTTAGACACAAGACAGGATGGGAAATATCCCACAGCCTTGAGCCAGTCCCTATTATAGAGTGACAGTGCCTAAGAGTAAGCATCAGAACAAAATGAGGGGCCCTGAGTGGCTGATTGATGTCCCACAGGACTGCTCGGAGGCCCAGGGGTTATGCATTCTTTTTACAGTGAAGTTGCATTTCTGCCTTTCCAGGCATTTGCATAAGATAAATTATGGTTCAAATCATAGAAATGTTGCATGAATGAATTACTTTTGTATCATCTGGTAGTTTGAATCATGTCATTCTAGACTGACAGCAGCATTCCGTCTATCCTGTTTCACAAGCACTCCAGTGTGCGCAGTCATCTGGCGTATGCTGTCACTGTCTGTCCTTTCCTCCTGACCCTCCTTCCACATCACCATTCAGGCTCTGGACCCTTCCACCTGCCCTGCCCACCTCCTTTCCCTCCTCTTCATTTCCTCTGTGTAAGTTTCTGTGAGTAGAGTACATAGATAGGAAACCTGCATTTGTCTCTTGTCTATTCCCAATGCTGCCTCCTCTACCTTTGACCAGCTGTCTGTCTTTTACTTCCTGCCTCCTCTGTCCTTCTGTTTCCTTTGCCATTTCAGATTCCATCCATCTCCCTGTTGCTGCTGTGTTAATCCACCCTCCCCTGTTCCTGCTCGTCATGTTTCATCCTCCTGTTGTTTACCCCTCCACCCTCATTGTGATTCTCGAGTCTCCCTGAACTCCCTCTGCCTTTCATTTTGCTAACAAGATCCTGTCTCTAAGTGATGCTCCATGATTCCTCCCTTCCCTCCTCTCTCCCTTTTCTAGTACTGAGACTGAACCTAGAACCTTCTGCATATGCAGCAAGCACTCTACCACGAAGCCCAAGCCAACCTCTGTTTATGCTTATTTTATGTATTATCTCTTCCCTTTTCTATCTCTTTTATTCTTTACTCATTATCTATAATTATGATTCTGCCTATAGAGAGGCCTTGCTATCAGGAAGTCAAAACTCCAATATCTGATACTTAGGTATCCACCAGGGTCATGGCTGTCCATAAAGAACCTAGTTTGTCCCCTGCAGTGGGGAAGGGGGGTTGACCACCGAAATTTTTCTTTTGCATGGAACTGTTGACTTAACATAGAAATTCTCTTGAGACAGCCTCTGCCATCTCTCATGACATTCTCCCAGTGAGATTTGTGGATTTTGAGATGTGTACCCATTACTTAATGGTGAATTTTGCATATTACTGTAATGTTTATTGTAAACTGAGTGTTGTCCTGAGCATTTTTCCACCTCAGTAAGCCACCACCTTACAATTCTGCCAGCATAAACCGAGTCCAGCACAGAAATATACCTGCTGGTTGGACAAAGCTGATATTGATGTGGGGCCCCCGGCACAAGCTGATTTAAGTCCCCCAACTGATTGACCTTTATGTGTTCCTACGTTGCTGTACTGGGGTTGGGATAAGTTGATTTCCTAAATTGCATGTATGTGAGTGCATATACATACATATATTAGATGGGTTTTTTGCTGAAATAATACAGAAATTATATACAGAAATTATAACATCTTGTATACCCTTAGACATTTCATTTGTGTATCTTTGTAAGAAAAAGACATTTTGCTATATAGTTAATAACGGCACATAAATTATACCTAAGTTTATGTTCAGATTCCTCGGGTTCTGCTAAAATGTCATTTAGGTGTAGCTAATTTTAGCAATACACATTGCATCTATCTGGTAGCTGCGTCTCCTAAGGCTCTTCTACCCTACCTGTTTTACATCTCACAGGCATTCTGAAAGAGTGTCCTGGGTTTCCTGATTGATTCTTTGTACAATTGCTTATAAATAATCCCAGTAGGATCTGTTAAATGGTCATAGTGGTAGTAGTAATAGTTTATTGTTATTGTCGAGGCAGGCTCTGGCTGGCCTGGAACTTCCTATGTAGATCAGGCTGGCCTCTAGCTCATAGAGCTCTTCCTGTCTCTGCCTCTTGGTATTAAAGTCATCTGCTACCATGCCCAGCCTACTTACTGCGTTTGTTACTTGCTCTGTGTTGGCCTTCTTTTCTGAGGTAGATTTTCTACTCAGCTGGTGCTTTTGGTTACCATGAAATATATTTCCTACTGTAAAGCTGTGTGTCCTAATCTTTTATGTAAAACCAGTAATTTGCCTCGTGTACTCAATAAGATGGTAACTATGTCATTTATCATCCAAACCAGGATACCTTGAGAAGGAATGAGTAGCTGCTGTACTGAACAAGCAAATTTAGACTGTTGTCTTAAGGGTAGGTAGGCATGTGGTTGCCAGAAGTTAAATGAAACCTAAGGAGGTTAGTTGCTTTCCTATTTCTGTGGAAGTCTCTTTTTAAGGAGAGCACAACCAAGTGACTTTCTTCTAGGTATTGTAAGATTATTGCTAGACAGTTTGAGAGCAGCTGGGTGACCTGTGTGTTCAGGACACTTTACCATTTTTTTTTTTTTAAGCCAGGTAGTCCTTCCAACAGAGATAACCACATTTCCCTTTTCTTTGGTATATGTTTTTGCTGAATCTCGCCTTCTTTTCCTTCAAATGGGTCTTCCCTTTTGTCTTTGTATTGGCAGTACTTCTGTTAAAAGTTTGTCAATCTCAGATTTCTAACTGTGTGAGAATCAAGATCTGTCAGAAACATTTGCTTTGCTGCTAAGACTTAACCACTCCCCCCACCCCATTCCCACCCCCAAGAATACTGCTGGTTATGAGACTCCATGCAAGCCTCGTGCCAAGAATCCTGGAAGCAGAGGCCAAGCATGACTCTTCTTTTTTCCTATCTGATGAACTCACGTTCACCCTTGAAGACTTAATTAAGAGTCACCCTTTTCTGAATGCCTGACCCAGTCACCTGTCTTAGCACTTTGTACATATTTCTGTGTTTCTCAGAATACTCCCCTCTATTTTCAGTACCTTACAGTGAGTGCTTCTATTAGGCCATTACAACTATTGCTCCATGAAAGTACAGAAGGGTAATGTTTATTTTCAACGACTTTAATGCAACACTCTATTTGTCTTTGGCAGTTACTGCTGGACTTGGAAATTTAAGGGCTGAAGACATATAAGCCTTTTTTCCTTATTGTTTTTAAAGGTCCGAGATCTCAAAGGTTCTGGTCAAAACAACAATAGGTACTGTATAGTAGACACTTAGTCCTTCACATTCTGTGCTTAGTCATTTCATGTATCATTCCTTACAACACCTAAAGCCTCAAACAGTGGAATCAGAGGTATTTCTTATCGTCTCCTTATAAAGGAAAAACTGAGGTCTCTGGAAGACCAAGAATCCTGCTCAGGGTCAAACTGAAATAAATGGGAGTTGAATCAGATTTGCTTGTTCCAGAGCCTAAGCAGTTAGCCACTATGAAATGTGGCTTCACAGTGGGTAGATGGAAAGATGGTTAGAAGACAGATAGGTATTTGACAGTTGTTAGACATGTGCATACTTCATACCCTACTAGATAAATATCTTTGATTGGGTGTTTTATAAATCACTTGGTGTGATACATATTATAGATATTTATTGGTGATGTCTCCAAGTTG